CTGGAGAACACACGTGCATGCTCCCACAGAGACGTGATGTTTACGGCATCCAGGGTCTCAACTCTCACCTTCTTGTTAAGGGCATCTGACACTGGACCCGGGGGTGAGGTGGGGGACCGTGTGGCCAACGTGCCCGTCCCCTTTCACCACAGCGCTGCCTCCGTGGCCTCAGGGCGGGGGCACCTCCCTGTCTCTAGAGGGTGGAGGAGGAAGGCCACAGCTCTTCTCCGCCCAGCCCAGCCAAGCCCAGCCCAGGGCGGGCCTGGCCGGGGCAGGACCCCCCAGCGTGCAGCATCCTTCCCCTGCGGGGCACAGGATCTGGGGATCCCGGAGAGAAGCAGGTACCACCTCCAGTCCCCGGGGCACCTTTCGCATCAACTCTGGGGTTTACATACAGGAAGGGGAAGGGGGTGCAGTTGCCAACAACAGGAACCGTTCCTGCTCTGGGTTTTCTCGAGTGTTCCGGGAAGAGGACAGGAGGCAAAGTGTTGTTCAGACCCATCTGCACCCCTAACCGTGGGTGACGTTCCCCGTGGGGCACTGAGTACATGAGGCCATCCCCGAGCTTTGCCCCCTCGGTCCCTGCAGAGAGAAGCCGCGGGCTCGGCTGGGCCTGGCTGCCACCCGCACGGCCCCCCGGGCCCGTGATCCCCACCTCTCCGCCATGAGCAATCCACCAGAATCGTGTCTTACAAAGAACAGACTCCAAAAATATATATAAATAAATAAAAACCTTAAACATTCTTACAGGGATCTTAAAGAACAGAATACATGTTAAAAACTTCAGTAATTTATATCAATTTTAAGCGGTACTTTATATACAATGGGGGGGAAAACACATGCATAGTCCAAATACAATGTTGAAAACAGCATTTTCATAACAAAACCCCGAACACTAAGTGTTAATACCATGTACATGAATTCAAGAAGGACCACCCTTTTTGTCTGTTGCACACAGTTTATTTAACAATATGATATAAGAAATGAGTTGGTACTTTACCATTCTATACAGTGATTGAATCTTCTTGAATTTTCTTATTTATAGTAATTATAGCGCTTGCATGATTTACACTAGAATTGCTTTTCCTCATTTCAAGTTTCACATAGAAGAAAGAAAAGAATGCTTCTTCTCTATTAACATTAGCATGGTCTAAGAGAGTGATCATCTCTATTTTTTGTCTAAAACCAGTTTTATCAGAGAAACAAAGCAACAATTTCTACATCTGCAAGACAAGAGTTTGGCGTAAGCCAGTATGTATAGATAGGTGTGTGTGGGTGTGTACGTGTGTGCGCGCAGGAGCCGACTCCTACCGTCCAGGGGTAATACTTGGAGAACGCCCACAGAGTTCACTATAGAAAAAATCTTCCCGCAACGTCAGAAAGTTATCGGGATACATTATAAGCTTGCATTATTTCAAGAATCAGTTTCTGAATATTATTTTTCTTCTCACTTTTAAACATAAATGTTTAAAGTCTTGAAAATACAAATAAAAAATATGAATATAATGAACTTGTTTTTCCCGTTAAAAAAAGGCATGAGTCACCAGCAATGACGACAAAAAGAATCCAAACAAAACCCCCCTCCCCCCAAAACAAAAAAACAAAAACAGAAAACAAAAAACAAAAAGAGAGAGAGAGAGAGAAAGAGAGAGAGAGAGAGACCAGATATTTAAATCAACTGGTTTTTAACAAAAAAATATATTCTTTGTATTGTTTCTTTAAACAGCAATCTACCCTTCCATGGCTCGGAAGTAGCAGTTCCATCTAGGGATAAAAAGAGCCCAGATGCCTGGATTTCAGTACAAAAGGTCCAAGAACATGAAAGGGGAAACAAAAAAAAGCGATGCTCTCGCAATGCTACAAACCCTCCACAAACTTTTCTAGGGTGTCTCCTGTGGTGTCGCCGACCAGGGACAGCTCACTGGACAACGCACTCCTGTTGGGGGTGTTCAGCTGGGGGAGCATTGCACTCTGTTCGGGGTTCCCCAAGTGTCCCTGATCTATGGAGCTGGCCATGGTGACCGCGAGTCCTGGGTGGGGGGAACCGGTCTGGGGCGAGACGTGGTGCGGCGAAGGCTGGGGCTGGATCCGTGGCGACGGGCTGGAATGTGGAGGCTGGGACTGGGGCCGCGGAGACTGGACAGGGGCCGGGGACCGCACCTGGCTACTGAGGGACGTGGCCATCTGCTGGCCGGGGAGGTGCGAGGCCTGGGGCTGTCCTGAGAGCATGTGCTGCTGGGGGCTCATGGGGTTCGGCTGGCCCGGGGACCCGATCTGCTGCTTCATCTGCTGCTGCTGCAGAATCCGCTGCTGCAGGGCCTGCTGGATGTTGGGGGTGCCGTCCGCGCCCAGCCCGGGCTGCCCCATCTGGCCGAGCTGTCCCATCTGAGCCGCCATCTGGCCCATGGAGCTGCCCTGGATGGGGAGGTGCTGCTGCATCCGCTGCTGCTGCATGGCCGGCGGGTAGCCTCCGGGTCCCTGGGGCTGCTGGAACTGGCCGTGCCCGGCCATGCCCCCGGCCATGCCCGTGCCGCCCTGTGGCGGTGGCGGCGGCGGCGGCTGCTGCTGCTGCTGTTGCTGCTGCTGCAGCAGCTGCCGGCGCAGCATCTCTCTGTACTGCGGGTTCATGCTCGCCATGCTGGGGTTGTGCCCCGGGTTCATGATGTTCAGGGCCTGGCCCTGGGGGTTCAGGCCTCCCATCGCCTGCTGCTGCGGGGGCACGCCGGGCCGGGGCCCGCCGGCTTGCATGGCGTTCAGGTTCTGCAGGCCGGGCTGCTGGTGCAGGCCGGGCTGGGCCTGGAGGCCGGGCTGGGGCTGGAGGCCGGGCTGGGGCTGGAGGCCGGGCTGACTGGCCACGTACTTGGCCGTGCGCTGCTTGATGAAAGCCGCCATCAGCTGAGGGTTTGACTTGAGGATGTTGAGCACCTGCTGCTGCTGCTGCGGGGAGCTGGGCGACTTCAGGGTCCGCAACAGGTCCTGCAGGGCGCCGGGCGAGATGCTCCGGGGCGGCTGCACGCTGGGCATCCGAGGCCCTGCCACGGCCGGCTGGGCCTGCATGGACATCACGGGCCTGGGCATGCCCGGCATCGGCTGCTGCTGGGGGAGAGGCGCCTGCTGCCACTGCCCGGGCGGCAGGTTGGGCACGACGGGCCCGCTGACCGGGCCGGGCCGGGGCACGTTCAGGCCCGCGGGGGCCATCTGGCCCACCGGGGTCACCATGCCCGTGCGCCCCGGGGGCACGCCGTTGTTGATGTTCACCCGGTACAGGTGCTGCTGCTGCTGCGCCTCGCGCTCGATCTGCCGGGCCGCTTCCACCGCGGCCGGCGGGGGCTGGGCGGGGGGCGGCGGGGCCGGCACCTGGTTGGCGGGCTTCCCGGCGGACACCGTGGTGGGGGGCTGAGTCCGGGCCACGCCGGGGAAGCCGGCCGGTGACATGCTCACGGGCGAGGGC